TTTTAATCATACTTTTGTGTATAGAATATCTTTCGTCATGTTACACTCTGTAGGCCTACTTATCCCACACTATCTTATCATCATGGGGGAAACATTCAATGCAGAAAATTATTGCTTTATCCGGAGGGGAGCAGAGTTATTTCTCACATGGAGATCACATGGCTGGCTGGGGCAGCAAAATCAATGAATGGGAAGCATTTTTTATCACAGGCCATTGTTCTACAACACAAACAAAACGCGGCAGGGAACACTATGTGGACGGGACGGTGACAGGTCGGTACGGCACGACCACGTTTCCAACCACCTGAATAATTGAAGGGAGGGGGCGATTTGCATACGGACCCAAACACTGTTTTTATGGCATGGGGAAAGCCCTTAAAATATGAAAGGGTATCACGTTTCAAAACACAAATGGGAACGTGAACAGACATGTGAGCAGAGGGTTGCTTAACAAAAAAAAGGGTGGAGGAAACATGGAGCTTGGGTTATCATCATTTATCAGATTTAACAGCACACCGCTATGATTTTCACAATAAATAGCTTGGGAAACATTAAAGGGTGCATCTAAATGCAGGTTAAGGTGCGCCTTTTAAATGTTAGCATCATAAGGCGTAATGTTTTTCAATAGGCTAACGCATTTTATTTTTGCGTAAAAATGCATCACCGAGGTGAAATATCCCAGAATTATTGCAAATCATCTTGCATCGATACAACATGCAACCCCGGCCCCCCCGCGTCCCCACCCACCACCACACACACTCTTTCAATAGGCATAGGATTAAGTGATTAATAGATTTCCTTTAACGCTTCCAGATTAGCTTGGTTTGTATGAGGCTATAAGGCCATTTCACAAGCCAGTGAACGCAACACAGCAGCGTAAAGGAGCGCAGATGCCGAGTAACCTTTATTATAGGAGGATGTGGTAGAATACACCAATGCACATTTGTATATGTCAACATAAGGATGTGCTTGGGTTCATCTAAGGATGATTGATTAACGCACAACATTCTTCTTTTTTTTCGCCCTGTGTGCACATGACTCGGGATGATTTGTCAATAAACGGGCCTACAGTATGGGATGCACACAATGACAAAAATGCGGATGGAGAAAGGAAGTAGTGAATCATAATAATAGAAAAAATACCAAACAAGTCACACTGGTGCCATGCGGCTCGTTGTTCCATCCTGGCACAATTTGTCCATTAAGGTTTTTTTGAATAAATTAATTTCCTCCAACCCGCCCAGTCCTCATGACACCCTTAAGAAGTGTTTCATCATTCAGTAGCGCCACATCCTGCGCACTGGCACCCTGGCCAACCTCCCACACACACACACACACACACACACACACACACACACACACACACACACACACACACACACACACACACACACACACACACACACACACACCATGGCTTTATCATAATAAAGCCCAATTAAGGATGCTGTTGTTTTTTACTCACCAGTGTAGAATGTCAGTCGTCCTTTTCTGAATTGACGAGTCTCAAGGAATGAAATTGTGAGAGCACATGCACGGAGGAGGCATTATCACTTACTTCTATGTAAACCAGTCAGGCCGATGTGCTGCCTCTGTCTCCGGAGCAGAAGCTTCTGTAGCTCTCAGACAGACGCATGGCATCTGCATGGAGGGGTGTCCGAATTTAAAACACCTATTAAAAATGATTTCCCAATCTTCATACACAAATATCTCAACGTATATGCTTTATAATCTGCGTTTATGCTGTTGTGTATTATGCTTTGTAGAATATCTAAGATTTAATGTAGAATTAGGGTTTTTCTTTTCTCGCACACCCCTGTTGTTCATTTGGTGCGGTCCACTACTACTCGGAAAGGGGCTGGCTCATGGATGAATGCAATGTGCCTCTGTTTATAAACGCTAATTTCCCTCGATGGATATTTATACACTTGAACACAATACTAATGTATTTGTGTATGGAATTTTCGTATATGTTTACGTCATGTATTTAGGATTTAAACCCGTACAACAAGAGGGTTTATTTGGTCAAGGTCGAAGTGGTGCGCGTCATGCACATGCACCCGCACACCCCGTGAGGCTATTGGGGGAAATCACCATATAGCCCAGACAAGAGAGAAGTCCTTTTTCTATAACAAAGAAATACAATTATGTTTACACATAGGACTTTATTTCTAATATATAGGGATACTTTTCTTTACTAGTGAGTTTATTTTAATTAATACTAATATCATAATTTATTAATGAATCGTATTGGGCGATAAAATGCACGATCATACAGTTTAAACGTTTTGTCCTCTGGAAAATACAACATACACATAATAATAACACATGGTGCTACTAAATAACATAAATAAAACAAGAAGAATTGTCACCACTTAACTAAATAGTTGAATAGGCCTCATATTTATTTATGAACAGATATAACAAATAACAACTGAAGGAAACAGTAGCCTAGCAGGTATTTGCCCCCAAAATAGGGGTAATTGTATTAAGTTTGGTCACAGACTAAGCGTTCCAATTTATGTATATTAGTAGATGAAAAAGACAGTTAAAGAATGGCCAATGTGTTTTTCTTTGCATCACTTTTTGAAACTGCATTGTGTTTCTCCTAATGGCTCCAGCGTGTTTGCACCTGACGGCCACCGTAGTAAAGTAAGTAACAAGAAACAAGAATAAAACCAAATCTCCCCAACTTCAAAAAATGCATCCATTTTAAGGGATACAGGGGGGATTTTCTAAAGTATGTTTGTGCCATATTTACATAACACAAGTCCCTACTTGACAAAATGCACTCGATGGACACTGTGTACGATGATTTTTTCATTATCTGGAAAAAGTTGCCTAATTGTGATTTCTACAAAACCGTACTTGTTATTTTGGACAAAATTAAGAGATGGATTTCTCGAAAGTGTAACGAACAAACTGAACCCCCCTTTGTCTTTGTCCTGAGTTGCCCCATAGTCTGGTGTGAGATAGACCCACAGTGTCCCAGGTGCACTGAGGAAATCATCACAGAAAGCTCTCCGGAGTTGTCAGGCGCTCGTTGGCAGGCCAAAATGTGTGTGTGGGAGTGTGTATCTGATGCTCACACAAATCCTCTTACTTCCAGTTCAGAGCCTTTATCACAACCCTCCTGAAGGCTGAAGAGTATTTCAGACATTGTGTCGAATATCTCTGCTCTCCTGTCAGGAACGCAGCCCACCGTCCTTTCTTTGTGTCCCAAATGTGCCTTGCTGCACTTTTCCCTCTCTGCAGGAGCTCAGCCTAAGTAACGGTCGTATTGATTGATGCTAATAGACTCCATCTCATTAGCAGCACAGAAACCATGAGAGCAGTGAAATAAAAACGATTTTCATTCTCTCAGTACATGCACATCTTGTTTGGCTGATGACGCTGTGGTTTACTTACAAATTATTAATGTCACCACCCATTAAAAAACCAAGAGAGGTTTTTTATTATTAAATAATCACCATCTGTTCATAGTGAGATTATTCTGTTAAATATTGTTCTTCTTTTCCTCTTTGGCCTCGTTCAAAGTGTATTTTTGAGGGGGCCGCTTCACTGAGTGTATAGAAGTATGAGAACATTTAAAAATACATATTTTATTGAAAGCAACAACCAAGTTTCGGAGAAATGGGAAATGAAAGAGAAAGTTGTTTTGGGGCTAAGTGTCTGTACTGCTGGTTTACCATCCAACATGCCACCTTCCCTGTCTAACAAGTCACACAGTCACTAGAAGCAGTGGATTTACTGTATGGCATCATGTATTCTGGTGATTGTTAATGATTCAGGTTTGTTCCGGTCAGCGATTTTCTCACGTCATAAAGAAGCAGCTGAGAAGAGCATGTGGCTTCGGCTAAACAAATTGTAGTTGCTCAAAGTGATTAAAAACATTAGGAATATCTCTACAGGAGAGAGGCTTCAGGGTCAGACAAAGTTGACATCTTAATTATGGAACAAAAGCCAGATGACAACTATCTTAATCATACCTCGGTTGCAGTCATTCAGTAACTCTTATTATTCACCAGGGACTCAATGAATGATGATGATGACTATAAAACCTTTAATGTTTTGATGATCTTAATCCAATCATTCATTTCTGAAACTAAACTCTCTCAGTCTCATCTGCAAGCAGTACACTTTGAGAGCTGAAGGAAATTATTTAAAGCTTCCAAATTAGGGGACATTTGAGGATACTGAAACTTCTTGTTGAGCTAATTTGAGAAAGCCACCTTTATTTATGTAGCGCAATATCCGACGCCACAAATGTACCTGAGGGGGGCCTTTACAATCTCTACTGCATATAGCTACTGTAGCATCTGTCTGTCGGTTTTAAACCTTGGTTTCGGATAAGAAAGAACTCCAAAAATAAATCCCTTTATCATAGGTATGGCTAATTTCAGTCTTTGTGGCGACAGTTTTTAATCAGTAACCTAAATAGTGTCTTTTTAAGTTTTCAAAGGGACAGAGTTGATAAGATCCATTATCATGCATTACATAAGGAATATTCCTGGTACTGAGTATGATGATGGCGTGTGTTTGAATACTGTGTGTATCTTTGTAGATGACAGTATGTAGGAATCAGCTTGTGTTTCAGGGAATCCAGATGTCACTGTTTGGCTGGATAATGCCCGCTTCTTTATAGAGTATGATGAAAAGATGACTCTGCTCACGAGACAGACTGTGTGGTGGGCTGCGTGTCGGCCATGTGTGTTCACGTAGCAGCAGTGAACCACCCAACTGAGAGTAAACATATCTATCCATATATGAAGCATATTACTGATTAAACATGAAATGCAGTGAATATAAATCTTTATTATACAGAAACAAGTCTTGAATATTTACTTTATTGACAGATTTACAACACTGTTATTATATTATATTAAATAACAAAATTAAATTGCAACCAAATCTGGCATAAACTAAAGGATGGATCGATTTTGGTCATTCATTATCAATGGCTGTTTCGAAGGTTGGCTGAAGTTTCATTCACTTATTAATATAACTCATTAAAGGTAGGGTAGGTAATTCACTTCAGAAACACTTTTTGTTATATTCCATGGAATGCTCTTAACATCCCGATAGCAATGAATACATTAAATGCTTTGACAATAAATACATTAAAAAAAAGTCATCTGTGGAAGCCGTGGCGCTGTAAAAAGCACGACCAATCATCTGAGCCGGCCCGGCTAAAATAACTGGATGGCCTACCTGCCTGTCAGCCTTCCATCTCGTGCACAAACGTATCTCGTGCCCTCATTGGTCATGTGCGCGTTCGTGTGTGTTGGAGGAGGGGCTCTGTAAGGAAGTCTGAAGGAAGGGGCAGATTTTTTTCGGCTGCGTACTTTCAAATTCTAGCACACTCAAGCTGGTTTCTCCGTTCTACCTACCCTACCTTTAACTCATGAATTATGTTGTAATCCTAAACCTCTAATACCTGACTTTAATATTTTGTTATAATATCACAAGAGCTACCTCCAGGTCTTAAAAGTAAAGCCAATGCGTTCCTCAAACCTGCATTATGTCTAATATCTGGTTTCATGTCCTGTTGTATAGAAGTCTATGAGAAAATTACCCAGCTTCTCACTCAACATTGCATATCATTTTCCAAACAAGTTTATGGTATCAATCCCGAGTATTAAGTATTCTTCAATACATCATGATGTTTATTTTCTAAATTATAGTTCTCTTTAGAGTACAATTTGCGTTAAAGTAGCAAATGATTTGGGCTAATTGACTGGTAGCTTTTTCTGACTCACTTTCTATTGTCAACTTCCTCCTTGCGTTTGGTATTACAATCTATGTTCCTGCTGGTTAAACTGGCCAATGGCGAACACTGTCTCTTTTCTTAAAACAGGAATCAAACAATGGATTAATTTACACATACTGTTAGGTGGTGTGTGCGTTCTGTGCTGTTGTTTTGATTTTGGACTGTAAACACAGAGCCGGTCACAGATGGCGGCTCACCTGTTGAATTCTTCATGACCGGACTCTGACTTTGGTAACATGAAGCCTTTCAGCCATCACAAGGTGCCACTGCCAGACCTCAGATGGAAAGTTAAGGCGTATTGGTTTTCACCGTGTCACAGAGACACAAACTGTTAAGCCAATGTGAATCACCCAGAGCTGCCATGAATGGACAAATCCATTATTTGAAGCGGCACCTGATTCTTAGAAGTCAACCTCTTCAGACAAAAAATGCTGAGGAAAAATCTGTCAACCAAATGTTGTCCTTGTAGATTAAATGGTTATCGTACTAAGATGGATATTGGAAAAGTGAATAGGATGCCAGTATATGATGTAACTACAATACAGTATGTCCTGTCCAGTTATTTTGCAAACATGTAAGACATTGTTGGAATTTGTTGGTGTTAAATATAATCTGGATTTAAGTCGATAACAATTGTGTGAACAATTCTGAATTGGGGACAAGAACAGGATTCATTTATACAAATCATTTTCAATTCATTACACCAGTGTGTCTGTTCTAAATGAATGCAACTGCTGTGTCTAATTTCTTTCTTTTTTTTTTATTTTTATTTTCATAGACGATTCCTTTAACATCATGGTTTATATTTGTG